CTCTAGTGGTCTCACAGCGTTCTGCTGTCCGATACGGTCCAACCTGGAAATACACGTTTCTTATTCTGAGACATGGTATATATCAAGACCATTAATTGGGGCCCTAGGATGTTCCTTGCTACTTGGTTTTTTTTTTTAGTGTTTTTTTCAGTGCACAGAGGTAAGAAACACACATCCCTACACAGGTAGAGAAACTATCACAGGAGTTCATACTGCTATTTCCAATTCAAAGCCAGAATGGTGGGATTTTCCTGTAACCTGGCCCGTGTTACATCTCCAACTCCTTTCTTCTATACTGAGAATCCTGATTCTCCGGGACAGGCGGGATGACAGATTTAGAATATCCCATAATTCCTTGTTTGCTTACTCTGCTATTATGCATCCAAGAGCCTTGTGATAATAACATGAATTATCGGAACATGAATACTACTACTACAGCCAATTAATCACCAAAAGCAGCATTTGCTCTCCGCATTCAGCCTCCGATTTGAAAGACAGTCGTGTTATATATACATCGTGAGACGAGGCCTTAGTCCGTTCAGGCTGCTAGAGTCCAACACGGCAGACTGGGCGGCTTCTAAACCACAGACATTTATATAATTCTGACGGTTCTGGGGGCTGGAAGTCCGAGAGGGAGGTGCGAGCAGATTCAGTGTCTGGTGGGGGTAGCTGCCCAGTTCGTAGATGGCCCTCTTCTTGCTGTCTCAGCTGGCAGAAGGGCACAGTGCTCTGGGTCCCCTTTTGAAGGGTACTAATCCCGTTCATGAGGGGAGGGGCCTCCCAGAGACCCCACCTCCAAATATCAATCACATTAGGGATTAGGTTCCAACAAAAGAATTTTGAAGGAACCCAACTGCTTACTCTATAGCGCAGTACGTAACTGGTACATACTGCACTCTTCCTAATACTCACTGGGTCTTTTTAAATATCACAGCTTTATTGAAACAGAACATACCACAAAATTCACCCTTGGGGAGCGTGCCATTCCGTAGTTTCTAGTGTGTCCGCAGAGCTGTGCAACCACCACCATTAATTTTAGTGCATTTGTGTAAAGTTTGCACAGGGGTTGAAGTAGGTCGCGCTCAGCAGGAATGACCCACTAATGTGCGGAAGCTCAGAAAGCGAAGGCCAGGGTTTGGCTGGAGCAGGGGGCCTGGGGGAAACGCCGGCGGGCTCAGGGAGGGAAGAGGGGTTTGCTGCGAGGTCCAAGCCCCCCTGTGACTTGCGTACCGCACACGGCTCACCTGCAGGAGAGAGGCCAGCATAACCCCTAAGAATTTTACATTTCAGCAGCACGCTGTTGCTGGGAAAAGTGAGGACCAGCACGTAATCGACACTAATGCTTATTTTCCCAGAGACGTCCCACTTATCCGTGAGCAAAGTGTTTTCCTTTCGTTTCTTACTTTAAAAGAAAAGAAGAAGCTCTTCAAGGACTTCCGGTTGAAGGTGACTCTCACCCTTCAAAACCCAATGATAAATTCTGCTCCGCTCTTTTCTGTGCAGTTGATGGATGAGCATGATCAACTCTCACGTGGCTTGACTCATAATTTTCATACATTTTCCCTAAAGGCCAAACATTTTTTTCCCCTGTATAATCACATTTGCGTCAGTGTGTGTGAATGTGCATAACTGCTTAGTCTAATGAAATTATTATATATGTGTTTCTGGGAACCTGATGTAACAGTACTGCTAGTCGAGTGGGTTTAAGTGGAACTCGCTTCTTAGCCTCGTGCCTCCCCTGAGCAATTATTGTTTCTCAGGGGCCTCTCGCAAAATTCTCATCAGTAGCTCAGAAGTATTGAAAACTTCAATTCTAACAGAGAGTGTAAGATGGAGAATTCAATTGACTGGATAGTAATTGGAGCCCACATCCTGCTGAGGACTCCCATCAGGTGCATTACGGGATTGCAGGCATGGATAAAGCGGTTTCTGTCTGTAAGGAACTCGTTATTAACAGAATCATGTCACCCAGCACTCACAAAGTGCCTTAGTGGTTCGAAAATGCTTCTCTATCATCACAGTCTTATTCAAATGTCATCACAGAACCTATAAACTATCACGGTAAGTATTAAAGCCTGTCAAAATGAGATCTCTTCCACCTTGGTGGGGTGGCTCTGTGAGTTGGAGTGTTGTCCTGTGCACCAGAAGTTTGTGGGTTCGATCCCCGGTCAGGGAACATGTGGGAGGCAACCGACTGATGTCTCTCACACATCAATATTTCCCTCTCTCTCCCTTCCTCTCTCTAAAAGTCAACGAAACATTCTAGGGTGATGATTTTTAAAAATTAGGTTTCTTATGTTTCTTCATTGAATTGTCCTCGAATTAAGTGTAGAACACCTTGCGTACTGACACCTTAATATTAAGTGTTCTTATCCACGAACATGGTATCTTTGCATTTATTTAGGTTTTCTTTCATTTCTCTCAGCGATGTTTTATGATTTCCAATGTAGTCTTTCACCTCCTTGGTTAAATTGATTCCCAGGTGGCAATGAGTTACACAATTTATTACCCAAGGGACAAAGACAAGCCCAAGTTCGTCTTTTTTTTTTTTTAAGATTTTCTTTATTTTTAGAGAGAGGGGAAGGGAAGGAGACAGAGCTGGAGAGAAACATCAACCTGAGAGAGAAACAAGGATGGGTTGCCTCTTGAACACCCCTAACCGGGGACCTGACCTGCAACCCAGGCATGTGCCCTGACTGGGAATTGAACCGGTGACCCTTTGGTTTGTGGAGCGAGCTACACCAGTCAGGGCAAGTCCAAGTTTTCATACACTTTTATTCTCTGTCAAAGTCCAGAGATACCTGCGCTGCTTCCAAGACATCCATGTACAACCGTGTGAACAAATGCGCCCCGGACCTGGCGGAGGGGACCAGAGGACACTGGAAGTGGCATGGCTGGGTCATGGGATGCTTCTGTACTTAGTGTGGAAGAACAGCTGGACTATTTTCCATCTGCACCATTTCCATTCCCACTCGCACGGAACAGGAGTCCGGTTTATCTGCATCCTTGCCATCACTTGGCATTTGCAGGCTCTTAAAAATAATTTGTTACAGTCATCCTAGTGGATGGGAAGTGGTGTTTCATTGTGTATTTTTCTCCCTGCGGTAAAATAGAAGATAAAAATTTCCACCGGAAAACCGTTTTCCAGTGTTTAGTAATCGTGTGGCGTGGCATTCAGGATGGTCACACTGTGCAACCATCGTCATCGTCGTCATCCACCCACAGAACTCTCCCATCGTCCGCCTCCAGCACTGACTCCCCACACCGCTTCCTGCAGCCCCTGGCCGCCAGCGGGGGCCTTCTCGTGTCTGTGAAAGTCACTAGTACCTCCTGTCCCTTTGTGACTGGTTTCGCTCAGCAGACTGTGTCCGAATTTCCCACCTTTTTACCACACCGCATCTTGTTTATCCACTCATCCACTGATGCACATCTGGGCTATTTCCACCCTTTGGCTGTTGTGAATGATGCTACGAGTGCTTGGGAATGCAGGTATCTCTTTGAGTCCCTCTACCTTTGGGGCACAAACTCGGAGGTGCCACTGCTGGATCACAAAGGTCATACGGTAAATTCTCCGTGTAAGTTTTGGAGGCACCTTCCTATTTTTCATAACATCTGAAAGAGTACCCGGTGCTCAGAGGGCCCTTTGTGGTCTTTTGTAGGAGGTGCAAATGAATGAATGAATGAATGAATGAATGAATGAATGAACGAACCAACCAGGTAACCACGAGGAGAACAGAACTTCCTGGCGGGCAGGCCCTCCTCGCTGCCCTGCGGATTTCTAGAGGGAAAGCGCCTCCAGGAAATCCGTGCTCTAAGTGGCGCCGGGAGGGGCTCGGCCACATTGTAGAGACGAACCGGAGGAGAAAGCGGCCTTGGCCTCCGGCCAGCCTTTCGAGGTCAGCCACTTCATCTGCGGAATCCCCCCCCCCCACCACCCCGTGCCTCCCTCGGCCATCCCATTAAATTGGAAAATAAATCCCATCCCCGCCAAGGTGTTGGCTGATAGAGACTTGAGCTATCGCCCCTTCCAGAGGAATTTGCATTTTAATAGAGGCTCTCCAAGCCCCCAAGGAATCCATATCTCTAACGGGGGAATTTCAAGCCCCCGGAGGCTGCAGTGTTTCTCACCCACCCCGGGCGCTGTCAGAGATCTGCCTCGGGCTGCGGACGGAGAGCCCGCCATTTCCCCGCAGCAGCGCCGCGAACTTTGTCACCTTGTGTCTCATCCCTCCGACTTCCTAACACTCCGGGGTCTCTGCGGGGGTCCACGCGGCCTTTCCCGCACCGGCCGTGCAGTCTCACAGTCGTCTCCCCCACCGCGCCCCAAGGCGAAATGTGGCCCTCAGAGCTTGCACGCTCTCCTGGCATTCCAAGGAAACCGATAAGCAGGTATTTAAAGCCTTATCCTGGTCACTCGTCTTAGGCCCAAACTTTTTGCTTGCATCCGGAGCCCTGCCAGTGACAGGTGGGTGAGAGACGTCGTGGTGCACTCGGGGAGGCTTCAGAGCCGCGTCCTTCAGGGCCCGGCGCCCAGGGGCAGGCCCGGACGCCGGGGAACTGCGGCAGCGCGGACCTCCGGGCTACGCGTTGGACAGGGTGCGCCTCCACACCTGGGGCAGAGCGCGTGGGAATTGCCCTCACCTGCGCTGCCCGCCAGCCCCCCCCGCGGTCTCCCCCAGGCCCCCGCCCCAAGTGCGCGCGCCCCTCCTGGGCCGGCCTCCGGCTCCGCCCGCGGGCCCAGCTCCCAGGCCCCTCCATCGCCGCCAGCCGCGCAGGCTGCCCCGCTCTCGCCCTTGACCCGCCTGCGGCGCCCACTCGGAGCCTCCGACCCGCCGCCGCCGCCGCACCTGCGCCCATCCGCTCCCCGCCCGCACGGGGCCGGCGCAGCGCGCGGCGGCGGGGCTCGCGCCCGGGGACGGCGGGGCTCGCGCCCGCGCTCGGGCCGGGGAGCGCGCGGGCGGGCGGGAGAAGGCGCAGCGCAGCGCCGCGCGGCGGGCGGCCCTGCGGAGCGGCGGCGGCGGCATGGACACGGGCGCCGGCAGGGGCTGCGGGCGCGCGGCTCCCCGCCCGGCCCAGCCGGTTCCCGGTGAGCGGCCGCCGCAGCCCCCGGGGCCCGCAGGGAGGCCGTCCCCGTCCCCGCGCCCGGCGCAAGTTGCCTCAGACCCTCTGTGAGGAGAGGCGGCGCCGGCCGGCGGGAGCGGGGCGAGGCGTGCGGGCGCGGGCGCGATGCCTCCGGCCGGCGGTCCCCGTGCGCCGCGCCCGGCCGCGCTGCCCCGCAGCCTGTCCCGCCTGCGCCAGTGCCCGGGCCGCTCCCGCATAGTGCTGGCGCTCGGGGCCACGCAGATGGCGCTCGGCTGCCTCATCGTGGCCGTCAGCTTCGCCGCGCTGGCGCTCACCACCTCGGCCCGCGTCCGCCACTCCTGCCCCTTCTGGGCCGGCTTCTCGGTGAGTGTCGCGGCCGGGCGGGCGACTTCACAACTCCGGGCGCAGCAACTCCGGGGACCCCCGTCGCGTCTGGCGAGGCGTCCTTTCCCGTCCCCGTCGCGGATCCCGCAGTTACTTTTCTTAGAGGAACAAGCCGGGCGCCCGCCCTCCGCCGGGAGACCGTGGGCATCGGGCGCGCGTGGGTCGGCGGCTGGACCCTCGGGGACCCTGCGCGCTGGGGACCGGGGACCCGCCGCGCCAGCCGAGCGGCCGGGACCGGAGCGGGGTGGGGGGTGGTGTGAACCGGGTCCGGGGCTGTGGCCCCGCGTGCGCCTCGCCCGGGGGTTGCTGAGGGCGCGGGGACCCGCCGCAGCCCCCCTCCCCCCCCGCCCCCCCGGCGGCCGCCCACGGACTCGGCTGCGGGGACTTCGCGTTTCCCGCGTCCGTCGGGCCTGCGGGCTCCGCGGGCGGCGGGACCCGGCAGCCGACCCGCAGCGGCGGCGGGGGCGTGTGCGCGGAGACCACCAGGGTGGCGGGGTTCAGGCTGCGGACCCCACCTCGGAGAAGCTTGCGACGGACGAACGTCCGCGGGAGAAATCCACCAGGAATCTCCTCCGTTAACTGACGGTCCCCACCAGTTAAGTGTTTCGCCATTTACAGCCTTTTGGTGAGAGCTGCTCTCCCTCCCGTGTTACAAGGATCGGACCCGTGCAAACGGGACAGGGAGACGCGGCGCGGGTGTTTATAGACGGGCGCGCCCGCGCACTCCCGACCTCCGTCCCCGCGTTTGGGGCCCATCCGTCCTCGCGGGCTTCCCGGCGCGCTCAGTCCGTGCCGACGCGGCGCCTCGGGAGACGCAGACCCGGCCTGGGCGCCGAGTGTTTGCTCTTCGTTCTGGAGTTTTGCCTTTTAAACACTCGGCCCCGGCCTTGCCGGTGGGTGCTGTCCGTCTTTGGCGCCGCTGGCCTTTGTTCTCCGAGTCCATTGCGTGGCTTTTAGAAGGAGATCGGAGCCCCACGGACCCTCGGGCGCGCCGATCGACCCAGGGGTGGCGGGTCAGCCTAATGGGGGCGGCGCTTTCCCGAGCCGATTGCAGACCCGCGGGGAGAGGCTCGCGCGGCGGCGGCGGCGGAGACGCCGAGGGAGAGCGCCCTCGGCTGTGCGCGTCCGGACCCGGGAGGGGAGGCCGGGGGCTGGCGTTCGGACCCGCCACTCTCTGGTCTTCACACATCTGTTGCTCGGGTTTTGGCACGATTTAGTATGTCTTGTTTCCGTGTGGTCCGCCTCGTGGGCGCCGAGGTTTGTGGCCGCTGGAACCCGCCTCCAGGGGGCAGGCTGGCTAGGGTCCCTTGCCGGCTGCTCTCTTGCCACTGACCCTCAGCCGAGGGTTCGGGGCTCCCAAAGGGCTGCCTTTTGATGATAAACCTGAAAGGGAAAACGTGCATTGGACAGCACAGGAAGGCTGTTCCTGTGGGAAAATGTACGTTCGCTCCATTTCGTTCTAAAGAGTTAAAAGAAATACGTGAAACGAGAATTCGACTGGCGTTCCCAATGTTAGTACTTTCAACAGCTGTTGGTGGAAATCAGTTCTGGCTTCCGGTGGTTGAGAGTGATTCCATAAACGTGTGCTCTTCGCGGACGTGCCTCGGGGCTTTGGGGAACAGCAATGAACACAGAAGACTCTGCTTACCTTTAAAAAACCAAAACAAAACAAAAACCCAACTCTTAAAAAAAGTCCTCACTCGAGGATATGTTGGTTCACTTTTAGAGAGAGAGAGGAAGGCAGAGAGAAACATCGATGTGAGAAATATTGTTGTTGTTGCCTCCCGTTCGAGGCCGGACTGGGGATCGAACCCACAACCTTTCGGTGCAAGGGGCAAAGCCGCAACCAAAGGAGCCCCCCGACCAGGGCTCTGCTGGCCTGTTAGAGATTTCAGATCCCTTCTGCCCTCAGGCCACCTCCCAGGCCCCTGCCTTTCCTTTCATTTTCTCCTGGGCTTGTTTTCACTTTTCTTTTCTTTTTTTTTATTAATATTATTTATTTATTTATTTTTAGAGAGGGAAGGGAGGGAGAAAGAGAGAGAGAGAAACATCAATGTGTGGTTGTTGGGGGTCATGGCCCGAAACCCAGGAATGTACCCTGGCTGGGAATCGAACCTGGGACACTTTGGTTCCCAGCCCGTGCTCAATCCACTGAGCTACGCCAGCCAGGGCTTTGTTTTCACTTTTCAAACTGGATTTGCCGCGGGCACCTTTAAAATCCTTTCATACCAGCAAACACCATTTTTTTCCCCGAGTATTGATTGTCTCTGCCCTTCGCAGAGGTAGGGGTTGGTTCCAGTGCGGTCGGGACACGTTTTCATGTCAGCGTGTGGCTGTGAGTGGTAACACCAGCCGCTGCGCCTGGACACCGGGACACCACCTGGGAAGGAGATGTTTCACGTAAGGATGGTGGCCAGGGCGGCCGGCTTCACAACCAGCCCTGCTCGGTGGGGTTCAGGGCCCAGATGGGGTAGCCGCCCATTTCCTGGGCGGTTCCTGGTGCTCGCGCTCCTGGGGACGTTCCATGAACACTCGCGGTGGTGTCGGCGCTGGGCCTAGGCCCTGAGAAGTCTTGGCATCTTCTGTGGAATATGTTGCGCTGCCGAGGGCTTAAGTAGTTCCTGTAAGTTGGGGTTCTCCATAGAAACGACCTGTGGGATGTATACACCTGTGCGCACGTCACAGGAGGGGGAGGAGAGGCCTGGGGTGGCAGGGCAGCGGGAGGTCCCACCCTCCACCGTCTGCAGGCTGGGGAACCAGGAAGCTGGCCTGGAGCGAGGCCACCAGCTAGAGGGCCGGGGGTGTAAGTCCGGGGCTGAGAACGAGGAGCCCGGATGTCTCAAGGCAGGAGGAGACGGGTGTCCCCGCTCCATCGGAGAGGGGATTTGCTCTTCTGTGTTTACTTTGAGTCACGCCCTTGAAGGATTGGGTGGTGCCAGCCCGCTCTGCTGAGGACCACCTTCTTCTCCTTTTTAAAAGTTTATTTATTTATTTTTAGAGAGAGGGGGAGGGAGAGAGAAATAGACAGAAAGAAACATCAATGTGTGGTCACCTCTCACGCGTCCCCCTACTGGGGACCTGGCCCACAACCCAGGCATGTGCCCTGACTGGGAATTGAACCACCGACCCTTTGGTTCACAGGCCAGCACTCAGTCCACTGAGCCACACCAACCACGGCTAGAGTGACCTTCTTGACCCAGTCACCTGATGCAGGTGCTAATCTCTTCCCTGGGCACCCTCCCACTCACACTCAAAATAATGTCTTACCATCTACCCACGCAGCCCAGTGAAGGGGACACAGAAAATTGACCTCACACTTGCCCCAGGTCACTCAGCTCCGAAGCGGCTGGTGTCAGATTTGAATTCCGTTGTGCCGATTTGACAGGCTGTACTCCTAACCATTGGGCTTAACTGCCCACCCCAGGCAGGCAGAAGGGGACTGGATCAAGCCCAGTGGGAGAGGGTCCAAGGTAAAGCCTCTGCAAGGAGGTCACATCCCCAGTTTCTTAGGGACAGTGCAAAACGCATGTGGAAAGGGGCAGAGTCAGAGAGAAGCTTGGGGAGGCGTTACCTTAGGGAAGCTGAGGAAGACTGAGGAATGGGGGAGAAACCTTGGCAGAGTTGGGGACAGCCGCTGTTTCAGTCACTGGAGGACCCCCTTCCAATGGGGTCCTTGGCCTGAGCTGCCATCCAGCTAGGACTCACGCCAGGGACGCTGGGGCTGAAAGCCTGACCCCTCTGGAGAGGTGATGGCTCTGTTGGCAGACTGGAAGGTTAACAGAGCAGGGTGGATAACAATCTTGCGTGATTCTCCTTTAAAGGAGCAGCGTCATGATTTTCCTTTGAAAACGTTTCTAATGCCTAGGACATCCGAGGCCAGCACACTGGGCTTTTTTCACATTGCCGGGTTCACCTGCCGATAGCGACACTGGCGTTAGGGGTATGTGTGTCTGTGTGAGTTTGTGTCAATCTATCTTTTTCCTTTAAATGCAACGCCAGTGGATGCAACGCCCGTGGGTTTTTTCATAGTTCAAAAGCAACCTGTGCCTGTCGCAATCACAAAAATCAAAGACGTGTACACACAAACTTACAGAGACAAGTGCCTTCCACTCTGATTCTGTGCCCAGAGGTCACCTATATCACTGGAGTGTTCGCTGCGATCCACACTTCCCTTTATAATAAAAATATATTAGAATGTACGTATACCTAGAATATGTTTTTTTTAAAAAACAATTTAGAACGAAGAGGACACCACACTCCTTACTGGGTGACTTCTGTTTTATTTAGAATGGAAGAGATATTCCCCACTGTAGCCCACTATTATTATTATTCCCATTATATTTAATGACTGTGTAAGAGTCCATGGTATGAATTATTATTATAACATATTCATGTATTCTCCTCCTGGGAATATTCCGATTGTATCGGTTCTGTGTTTCTACAAACAATGCTGCTTCTCGAACCTCAGATGCCAGCGCTTGTTTTCTGGGCGTAAAATTCCCCAGAGTGGAATTGCTAGTCAGAGCGCGTTCAAATCTGGGATGTCCTTAGGTTTCGATTTACTAATTCCACATGGCGTTGCGGCCACTCCTACGCGCTACAAGAGTGCCCTTGTGCACCTGCTCCCCAGCAAAGGATGTTAGCTGTCCTTCAGATTTTCCTCTTTCTGATGGAAGACAAATACTTCATTGTTTTCATTGGATCTGAAGTGTCACAGCTACATCTGTGTTGTAAATATTTTCTTGCAGTTTTACACTTCTAAATCGGCTTAGTTTTTGCTGTCTTTGGCCACCTGGAAAATTTCAGAGCTTTTTCTGTACTCTTTTACAGTTCAGAAGGTTGTCCCTATAGAGGTCCCATAAAGATTCTTTTTTTTAACAAATTTGCTCATTTTGTTTACTTTTTTTAAAGATTTTATTTATTTACTTTTAGAGAGGGGAGGGAGAAAGAGAGAGAGAGAGAAACATCAATGTGCGGTT